TTTTTATAAGAGTTATAGGCAAAAAATTAAAAAGTGAAGATATATTGTGTTTATATTCATCCCTCCCTTATACAATCACTTCTTGCGTAACTTGAATCTGTCGAATTTTCGTCGAAAATGTATCAAAATAATTCATAATTATTTTTTAAAATTTGTCAAAAATCATTCTCAAAATCCAACTTGAAACAGTCAAATTTCCGTCAAAAACTTTATAAATAAGTGAATTTTTTTTTTCAAATCGGTTGATATTCCGTTGCAAATTCAATTTGGATCCGTCAAATATTTGAATCTAATATAAAATAATAGATTGGAAGGAAAAAGATTCATACATAATTATCATAAGTAGATTTCGTCGTGAATGAGTCTAACTTAACGTATATATGTTTAATGAGGATGTAGCTTAATTAATTAAGGTGGAAAAGTGGGTAATTAATGAAACGTTATACTCACTTAGACAAAAAAACGACTTATTTACAMCCATCATGTCCTAATTAAGCTCGTTACGAAGAATAAGATCCATTATACCAGCTTAGACCAAAGCAACCCTTTAACGAAACATTAAGAAGCACCATGACCCGTTATACGTCTATTAGACTGATTATGACTCACTTAGACMCATCATAACCCACTTAGACTAGTTGAGGATAATACGACCWTATACCCACTTAGACAAAAATGAGTCACTAAACTTAATAAATAACCAATATGACCCGTTATACTTCAATTAAATCTATTAGGGTAAATTCAAATTGATTAATGACCCATTTAAACCTATCATGACCCACTTAGACTCGTTGATGAAAATAATACCCATTTCGGCCACACAGCCAATTAACGAAACATTAAGGACCATCATGACCCATTATACCTCAATTAGACTTCGAACTACTTATGATCAATTTAGACACATCATGACCTATTTAGACTCGTTAATAACAATGAGACTCATTATACTCGTTTAGACCAGAACAACCATTAACGAACCAACAAGATCCATTGTCGTAGCACATTTACACCCATTGTTACTATCCAATAAAACTTGTTAATCGCGGCATTTAATATAAGGGYGTGTATGGGTGGCTTGGAACCAGATCAAAATCTTTCGAAGATTAAAATCCGTCGAAAATCGCTCGAAGAAGTTCCTTGAATTTCCATCGAAAATTCTACGAAAAATGCTTGTCGAAAACCCCTTGGAATTTTCATGGGTTTCTCGATGGATCTTCTCCGTAAAAATATATCAAAAAACCACATTTTCAACGAAAATTCGGTGAGAAATTCCGTCGAAAACCCACATTTTCGATGGAAATGTCAGTCTAAAATGCCCCTCTATTTTGCAATGACTAACCCAATAATTAAGAAAAAATTGAGTTATATACATTTATACTTGTTATATATAATCAGCACTAAAATCCAAGGTATCACCAACGGCAAAAGCCCTTGGTAAACCTTTGAAAACGGGCTCTATTGACAGCTTTTCGATTAGAAAAACCATGGGAAAAAAATGTCTATTTATTCTTACGGGGCAAGTTGTTGCATACGATAATGTTTTAATGGAATAGAATCTTTTCCGGTAAAAGAAGTGAGTGTTGGCTCTTACCGGTAATTAATGGTTTACTCAAACCAAGTCTTAGTTATTTGGCATCTTGCTTTCTTTTATTATCATGCTCTAAATTTCTTTGTTATAATAGCTTTTAAGCATGGTGGACTTTTGGTTGCGTAACTCAAGTTTGTAGTTTCTTGAAATCCCTTTAACATCACCGTTGTCGGGATGTTCCAAAAAAAATTCCAAATCAAATAACGAACATATTTCTTATATCATCTATGATCAGTAATCAAAACATGACAAAGCTATGTGACTAATTACAACAAAGATTTTTGGTTAATTAATCATAACTATATCAAACTTGCATTCCTAGTTATCTATGAATCACATTTCTGTGCACGAGATATCTAATAGTAGCCATTATATTTCGTCCAGCTAAAAGTGAAACGATACTCTACATCTCCATCTTAGCCGACACCAAGTAAATCACAGAGATTACAAGGGCTAAAGCCGAAGATATCCCACTAATAACGAACAAACCACCAAACCTATCAAGGTTCAAGGTTTTAGGAATTGTCGAAGAATCTTCGGGTAATACAGGAAACTCACTCTCAAACCACTTCTTCTCCAAACTTCGTAGTGTTCCATCTTCTCTTAATTTAGCAATAGCCCTCGACATGTCKGTTGCTAGCGACGATCCTTTTGCAAAGATCTRAATGATATAGATGACCAWGATATGGTGTATGAGAAAAAGAGATGTATATATATTTATATATAGAGTGAGGTTCAAAGGAAACCCCAAAAGTAAATGAAAAACTGAGCAACACCTTAATGATATTTCATTTGTACGGTATGTACATGTGCATACAAGTAATTGAAGATGTTACCGGTTTCTATGCACATGTGCATGTTATCATATGTGCATATCACAAAAATTACTTATATACATATATGCATAATGGTTACTAGGGTGTTCTTCAATTTTGCATATTTTACGGTATTCCTACARGTGAATTAAGATGAAAAATAAGGGTACTTACAAAGCCGAAACCAGAAGTAATAGGTTGAGATGAGACCATGGCATAGTCAGTAGGGTACATGCCAAGGAACATCTTGATGTAAGGAACTTCATCAACAATGGCATCAGCGCCACCATTCTTTCCACCTTTTGATAACGCCTCAGCATAATCATCGTAGGTATGATATGATTTTTGCTTCGAATCAGTAAAGTTCATATTCTTGACTGTCACTCCTCCAAAGAAAGACCCACCGTGAAACCCCACAATTCCTCCTTTTGAAGTTAGTTCAAACTGTTCAACTGTCATCAGTGCGGACAATGTTGCCGTGTAACTCGTAATCAAGATAAGAACCAAGAATAACCAAGAAAAAAATCACAAATCTCGACAGGTTGCTTGACAACTTCTCCTCTGGGATGTGAAACACAACACACTATCATCAGATCTAGATTAATTAAGCTATGTTTCAAGATGGTAATTGCATCTTAATTAAAAAGAAAGAGAGACAACGTTGAGCTGAAAAGATGCTCAATAGGATGAGCCACAAGATCGTTCCAATTCGTTGMGATGATGCGATTTCTGATTCTTGATTCATAGCTTCAATAGCCCACACAATGAAGCCAGTGAAGATGACAAAAGTTGCAACAGTTAGCGATAGATTTACATCCAATGGCTTCAAGAAGATCCACATGTCTTTTCTCTTGATTTTTGCCAGTGTTCCTAAACCAAGATCAGAGTAAGTTGCTRTGAAATCAACAAGTTCGGATCTGTTGGCCAGAATCGTTGAATCACCTAGGACCCCATCAATTTCCTGTAGAATARAAAAACCAGCTTCAATTCTAGATATATTTCTGAGCAATTTATGCGTATTAAACATGTATATGAATGCATCTCATACCTTCTTATAGACCTTTTCTATAAGTGCGTCGTARCTTCCTTTCTCAAATGGAATGAATTCGTAAGGCACTTCATATGGTAATGCATGAATGCAAGCCTGGAAAACCTCAACAGAAAACCCAGTGSCAGTTGTGACATTTGTTTTATCATCATGAACTGCATTTACGAAGTGCTTAAATTTTAGTCCATTTCGGATACTAATTCTTAACTTTTTACCAGGACCCACTCGTATTGTCCAACCTTTTGGAGTGGTTGTAGACCCTTCAGGCCAAATAACATCTTCTATATTAGTACGAGAATGTAGAGCAACATTGTTTAACTGCTGGTGYGCTCTCCTAATTCCTTTTGACGATGTCCAATATCCCACTTTCCTSTCTCCATAGTCGATTGCATTTAGGATCTCAAATCCATTGGACATCACTTTTCGTTCACTGAGCCGAAACTCTCCACTCATACCTTTRAATCCATTGATCTTCAAAATTTCACTTAGTAGTATTGAACCATTTTGTGGGACTCCAACCCTCTYAATARACTCTGCAAGTGCCCATATTGTGTCATACGCCCAAATGGYAAGCATAGGCACTTCTCTTKAGAACTCTTCTTTCCATCTTTTTGTTAAGAAATGCAGCCTGCTTGATGCTGGAATATAAGACCGAAAACCAAGTGCTCCTTGCAACGACTCGATAACTTCAAATTCATCTGATTGCAAGATTTCAATGGTTTTTTGAGTTAAAATCCATGCATATTCTTTGCTCATCATTCCTAACCTCTTTGCATTTAGAAAAACCCTGGATGCTAATGAAGGTGATAGATCTACGATAACCACAGTTGTATGAACACTCATGAGCTTATGCAACTCATGATTGATTTGATCATGTTTGGCGGAGGCAGAAACAACGCTTCTATAAGTAATTCGTATGTTTTTGTCCTGGAATGATTCCAACAGATATTGTAACAGATCTGATCCATGATTAGCGTCCTCATGCATAAAGATAACATCTCTGCATTTATATGACTCGATAACAGCAGCAATGCTTTTGGCCATGGCGAATTCATCTTCTTTAATTTGGAACATGTAAGGATATAGCATTAAGGATTTACAAGCAAAACAAAAGATGGGAACTTTGGGTTTATCAGTGAATGAACCCAGTAGCTCTGATCCGATATATGTTTCTGGGCCTATGATTGYGTGCACCTTAACGGTATTCAGAAGATCAACTACTGCTCAACAAGTAAAAACAAAACCAACTTTAAGATAAAATAACGGTGATGGCCTTAAATTAATATGCAAACTTATTTAAGTGTTTAATCCTTTTTTCAATTTGGATAACCAACAATTAATTTTTCTAGAAATTAAAATCACCCAACTATGAAAAACACACACATATATATGTATATATATACACACACATACACATATACAGAGAGAGAGAGAGAGACACACACACATACACACCTATGCGTACATATTTTGTGATATATATAGCTTTAATTAGAAGATCGTTGGTGGGTTTTTCTTTTTGGTTTACATTAGCCTTGTAAGAAATTAGTGACTTTGAGATGATGGATGGRTGGGGTGATTTAAATCCGTTACTACAAAGGTAAACAAGACAAGATGAATATTTGTTGCCAGATGATAGAGCTTGTAATCGATCTCCCTTCGAGTCCCTTGTGTGGATAACAATCCTTGTTCTGCAACCACCATTACGAGCATAGAAATCCGATAATGCCATCATAATGTTGTTGTGAATGGATTTTCCGATCCATGATTCCATGTGAAGAACAATCCCTACGTCCACATCTACAAAATTTGCACATAATCCAGGGTTTAAAATGCACAAGAATAATAGAATACAAAGGTTGCAGTTGCTGGGCAACATGTGGGTGCTACTTGTATCAACTCTCGAGACCAGTAATACTAAAAACCCAAGGATATAATACAAATAACATATGGACGATATTAATACAAATAACATATGGACGATATTAATTTCCATGGTATTTGTATGAATAATGACTCGACACGAAAACTAGAAAATTAGCTCTATGAACCCATTTACTTTGACCCGTTTAGAATTCAAAAATTACGTTTTATTGACGTTAAAGTTTTATTTATTGCATGGGATATGGTCAAATAATCTATAAACTAATTTTCTTGCAATATTTTGGAATTACGTATAATGTAGCAGTTACCTAACAAACATCAACTAAGCTTCGTTCCTTGGGACTTCGTTACTTGCATGTTTGAATTATTCCAAGTATATGTTTCTAGTAGGTCTTTCTGGTACGTGTTTCATACTTGCATTCTTAGGAAGATAATTGGACAGAAAATAATATACATCAATCGTTTATATTAGAATAATATTTTCAATGATGTCGTGTTAAGTTCGTCATGAACAGTTGACTTGGAGTTYRTCATGAACAGTTGACTTGGAATCTRAGTTTGTGGACAGATATAATTAATAGAAAA